GAACTTCCTTGGCAAATACCCCTGCTCGATCATATGAGGAGGTCTTGAAGCGTTGCAGGAAGTATATTAATTTGGAGGAAATGGAGGTAGAGTTCGCAAAGTTGGAAGGGTCGGCTCGACCAGAGCCAAAGAAGGAGCAAAGCCCACTAAGAGGGAGGTCGCCGAGGAGGAGTTCGCCCAAGAGGAATGGGTCAAAAAATATATCACCCACGAGGGAAGGTCAGGATTCGAAGCGAGAGAAGAGGGACGATAGGTGACAGGGAAGGCCATTGTTGTTCGAGAGACAGAGGTATCACAATTTTACACCATTGAGGAAAGATTTGACAGAGGTGCTCGAGGCTATGGAGCAGAAGATGTCGACCGAGGATGTGACGTGTCCGAAGACAAGGTTCACAGGCCCGGCTCGACCCAGATCGAATATATATTGTCGATTTCACTGAGATTATGGCCATACCACGGAGAGCTGTAGGCATTTGAAGGATGAGATTGAAAGGTTGATTCGAGCAGGACATTAGAAAGAGTTTGTGTATCATGATAGGCCGAAAGGGAAAGGGAGGAGAAGGTGTCGGGATGATTCGGAGAAAAGGAGTGATAGGGATGAGGAAGGAGATGACAGAGAGGGCCGAGGTGGTCGAGGAAAAAAGCCGAGAAGAGATGGAGATAAAGGGGGCCAGGGAGGAGAAGCCCTGATGAAGAGAGGGACAATTTACATGATTTCCGAAGAACCAATGGACGGTGACTCGAATAGGGCCAGGAAGGAGCATGCTCGAGCTGTGAAGAGAAAAAGAGAGGAGGTGGGGATTACGGCTCGTATGCCAGTGATAAGTTTTAAGGCGGAGGATGCCGAGGGAGTGGTCCTACCGCACAACGATTCTTTGGTAATAACCGCAGAGGTTGCAGACTTTGACGTGAAGAGGGTGTTTATTGATACCGGAAGTTCGATAGACGTGATGTTCTATGACTGTTTTGTGCAAATTAATAAGGAGTTGAATATAGAGTTGAAACCGGTGACCACGGCACTTTATGGTTTTAATGGAGGAGAGGTGATGCCGATGGGCGAGATAAGCTTGCCGGTGGCATTGGGAGCAGGAGAGCTGAGGAAGGTACGCATGGTGAGGTTTGTGGTCGTATGAGCTGAATCAAGTTATAACATCATTATGGGGGCGGACGAGCTTGAATGCGTTCTAGGCGGTCGTATCCACGTACCACATGACGATCAAGTATCCTGTGGGCGAAAACGTAGGGGAGATTGTTGGGAATCAACTCACTTCAAGGAGCTTCTATCAAACAACGGTGAGCAATAACAAGCAACTGGCGAAGAAGCAGGCCAAGTCGAAGGAGGAGGAGGTTAATCGACCAGGTGGGTCGAGGTCAAAAGAGGATAAACAAAGAATGGAGAAGGGTAAGGAGAAAATGGATATCCAGCCAGGAGGAAAAGTTGAGGAGATTCAGATGATCGAGGGGTGTGAGGAGAGGAAATTCAGAATCGGTAAGGACCTGGAGGAGCCTATTCGGTCGAGGTTGATTGATCTGGTTAGGGAGTTTACTGATATCTTTGCCTATGCAGCGGAGGAGTTGACGGGGATAAGTGCGGAGGTGATCGAACATCGGCTGAACATCGGCTGAACATCGACCTCAATGTGAGGCCGGTGAAGCAGAAAAGAAGGCACCATGGGGCGGAGATGGAAAAAATCATTGAGAAAGAGGTCGAGAAGCTATTGGGCAGGGCATATCAAGGAGATCCAGTTCCCCGAATGGTTGTCGAATACACTGATGGTGTCGAAGGCGGAGGGAAAATGGAGGATGTGCATTGATTTCTGCGATCAAAACAAAGCATGCCCAAAGGACTTATACCCACTGCCCAGAATCGACCAGCTGGTCGACTCAACGGCAGGGTGCAAACTGCTGAGCCTGATGGATGCCTCCCTGGGATATCATCAAATTCCCTTGGCGACAGCAGACAGGAAGCGGGTGAGTTTTGTAACGAGTCGAGGAACCTATTGTTACATGGTCATGCAGTTCAGCCTAAATAATGTAGGCGCCACGTATCAAAGGTTGGTCGATAAAATTTTTAAGGAGCAACTGGAGAGGAACATGGAAGTGTATGTGGATGATATGTTGTTGAAGAGCAAGGAGGAGTTGGATCATGTGCAAGACTTGAAAGAAACGTTCTCAACATTGCGGAGGTATGAGATGAAATTGAATCCATCTAAGTGCTCTTTCGGGGTGAGGTCGGGAAAATTATTGGGTTTCTTGGTGACCAAGAGAGGTATTGAGGTGAATCCTGAGAAGGTTCGAGCCGTAATGGAGATGAAGCCGCCGACGAATGTTAAGGAAGTGCAGATCTTAGCTGGACGAATTGCGGGGCTGAGTCGTTTCACATCGAAGGTGGCGGAGAAAACTGGCCCATTATTCAAAACACTGAAAAAGAGCTCAAAATTTCAGTGGACAGAAGAAGCGCAAAAGGCGTTTGAAGAGTTGAGAGGGGTGCTGGCTAACCTTCCTCTGTTGGCTAAACCCGTACAAGGCGAAGAATTGGTGTTGTATATTTCCATCGGAGAGAGGGCTGTGAGTTCGGTGTTGCTGCGAGAAGAAGGAGTAGCACAGTTCTCTATTTAGTACGTAAGCAAAGTGATGCATGGAGCAGAGATGAGGTACTCGGAGATTGAGAAGTGTGCTTTAGCTGTGGTGGTAACTGCTCAAAAATTGAGGCCTTATTTCTTGAACCATAATGTGAAGGTGCGAACGAACATGCCATTAGGGGAAACACTCGGCCGGCCATCGGTCTCTGGTCGATTAGTAAAATGGGCAGTTGAGCTGAGCGAATACTCTTTATCGTATGAGCCGAGAAGGGCCATAAAGGCGCAGGTGTTGGCAGATTTTATTCAAGAAGGCACTAAGGTCGAGGAGGAGTCTGGAGGAATGTGGCAGTTATTCGCGGATGGGTCTGTGGCCAGAAGTGGGGCTGGATTAGGAATCGTCCTTGTTTCCCCTAAGGGCGATAATTTGGAGTTTGCAGCTAAAGTGGGGTTTAAAATATCTAATAATGAGGCTGAGTATGAGGTGGTGATCAAAGGCTTGCGGTTAGCCATGGCGGGAGGAGCTCAAAAGGTTTTGGTACATTCCGACTCCCAATTGGTAGTCGGGCAGTTCCAGGAGGGATTTGAGGTTAAGGAGGATCGAATGCAGAAGTATATAGACGAGATGAAGAAGTTAAAGGAGGAGTTTGAGTCGTTCGAGCTTATACAGATCCCTCGAGGAGAGAATGGTCGAGCGGACTTAATAGCGAAAATTGCTCAAAGTTTGGTGGATTGTCGGAGTAGAAGTGTCACTCTATAACACTTGGAGAGATGTAGGGTCGAGGCGGAAGTGGCAGAGATCGAAGAAGTGGAGGATTGGAGAGCCCCGATCTTAAAGGAGCTGGAAGAAGAGGCAATAAAAGTGGTGAAGAGATTTTTTGAGCAAGGAGGCAATCTCTACAAGCGGTCGTACGCTGGACCGCACTTACGATGTATAACCAAGGAGGAAGGTCGGTATGTATTGAGAGAAATGCATGAAGGATGCTGCAGTGATCATAGTAAATCTGGAGCCTTGGTTGCAAAAATTCTGAGGGCAGGATACTTCTGGCCGACGATGAAAGAGGACGCGAAGATGATGGTGAAGAAGTGCTTGCAATGCCAGAAGCATGGTCCACTTATTCACCAACCGGCAAAAATGATGACGACGATGAGTGCCCCTATACCATTCGCCCAGTGGGGGATTGACCTGTTGAGAACATTCCTCGCGGCTGGGCAGAGAATGTTCTTAATCGTGGCGGTAGACTATTTTACAAAATGGGTGGATGTAATATCCCGACTTTTTATCAGTATAATAATATGTTAGTTCCGATATTATTTTTCGGAATTAATTATTTTCAGTTATTTCAGTCGATATTACCGGAACTATTTTCGACGTACCGTTTACGTTCGGAATAATTTTGGTAATTAAGCATTATGTTTAATTGGATAATTAAACATAATTAAGTGATTAATTTAACTTAATCACGAGATTTAGCTAAGTTGTTCGGATTTTATTCCGAGCCATGCCATTGCCGTGCGCATGTGTGTTAATACCGTGCGTATTCATGCTCGTGCAATATGTTAGTACTCGGTTCATATTCATGCGAGTGCCGTGTGTGTGTGTGTTCGTCCGAGAAAATCCGCGCGCATGCTAGTGGGCGGAGAATCCGAGGGCTTGTGGAAGACCGTGCGCCCATTTTGTCTCATTTCTCTCCAAGTCCGTGCGCTCCATTTGTCTTCTTGCTAGACATTTTCCGTGAGTATCCGTGCCCATTGTTCCCCTTGTCCTCTAGCCGGGCGGAGTGTCCCATGCCGTGCCCATGTGAGTGCTTGAAGCTTGGTCCGAG